AAAACACGCCTTGCTTGTTGAACTTTTTCATTTCGACTTAAATCCTAGAAGAAAAAGGCAAATGATAATGAAAAATTGAAATAATATTTTTGAGATAATATTTACTTCACGTATGTGACTGTTCATTGACGACGAATATAATGAATCTAATAGAAGACACTAGAAGTTTGTTTTTGATAAACAAGAAATTTATCTGAAATAAAATAGCATTGATTAGTGGCAAAATAGAGTTTTGTTAGAAACGTCACACTTTTATGGAGAAATGTGTAGGTTATATTAGATTTGCTTCAGCTCAGACGAAATGATATGAACTCAGAAGTATGAATTTCAACTGACGATTTCATTACATAGGAGAAAAGAATATTTTAACAATCCTTCTTTGTTTCTTAAGTAATACAGAAAATAGAATGAAAAACATCTGTTGTTCATATCTTGTTCGTTATGGTTATTTCGTATCTTTTGTTAATTCCATATCGAGTACTGATTACTTAATTAATATGTCTAATGTGTCATTTAATTAAGTGTCTAAGTGTTGAATCACTACTGTGTTGAAACATACTTTAATATGGATAATTTTTGCCGAAGATTACGAATCAGATGGTTTCATAAATATTCTTGAGACACTACACTCTTAAAGTTAAATGAGCACCCAAGTCTCGATTTAGTCGTAATCTTGGTCAAGCCTTGACGTATGTAATTCTTGATGTTTCATCCAAAATCTTAAGTGTCGACTTAACTCTGTCCTAACTCCATTGAACATGACCTCAAGTTACGCATCGATTTGACAAATCTTCCGAGCTGTCGTAAGTCAATGTAAAAACGACACACTAAAATAAACTGAACGTTGACTTGATTTTTTGATCAAGTTGACGAACTTAATAATATTGATGACACTTAGGATTCTTGCAGAAAGGAATGATTAGGCGGATGTTCCTAAGCGAGAACCTTTGTTCAAGCGTATGTTAACTTATTTTCTATACTATCCATACTTCGGTTACTAGTATACGATAAAAAGTAAGCCAACAATGGGAGAATAGGTCCTGTAGTTATTAAAAAAGTGTAACGCTCTATCATACCACATTCTATTTTAGAAATATTATTTAAAGGGAGGGAGGCGGACCTCTGCTCGTTTTTTTCATCACTTTGTTGTTCATGTCGACTTACATATATAGTGAGACTTTCGAACCTCTCAGACGTGTTCTTCCCATTCTTTTAAGAGTTAAAAATTTAAGTTTTTTTAAACAGGTTGCCGTGCAATGAAGAAACATGCTCTAATATTAGGACTGACTCCAATCGATCGAGGACATCGGACTGTTTTCGTTGATTAACAAAAATTTTGTTTTTTCTTCACGAAGAAAATTTTTGGAGAACATTTGACTTTTCGATTTTTCTACATTAAAAATGGGTTAAAGTTGTCAATAATTCTAATTTACGAATTTTTTAATAAAAGAAACAAATTTCAATTACTATTGCAGATTATAGTGAGAACTTTTTATAACTCATTTTCTTAAGGGAGGGTCCCCCATCCGGTTTTTTCACCAGTTTGTAGAGGACACTTCGAAGTATATGTTCCAAAGATCTTTTTGGTTTTCCGGACTTACACTGTAAAAAAACGCACGCTTTAACCGTCAGATAACCTGTCTCCTAAAACGTCAGGTTATGAATCATCCTTTAAAATACAAATGCAATCTGACGCCAAAATGACGAGTTTTCCGTCAGATCAGGTGAGTCATCTGCAATTGAATAAACAAAAGAAAACCCGACGCTTAAACTGTCAGGTTGCCCGGCCTGACGGTTTAAGCGTCGAGTTTCTCTCATCGAATGTTTTAAAATGAATTATTCTTTCTTTTATACTTAATGTTTTACCATTAGTTTCACAGAAGCAAAGACTGGAACTAAAATTTGAGTTTTCAATTAAAATGCATAGAAACATAGCAGTGGAAGTAATGTGGTGCATACTGTCCAAGAAAGGTTATTAATCACAAACTAAATATTAAATTAGCTTTTTTCGAAATGTTCAAAGAAATCAGATGCAAAACAGAGGAATCTATCACCTTAATCGTCAAGTAGGGATGATCGTTTTGCACATTTTGTAACTCTCGGACTAGTTCGCAGCACCCTAGAAAGACCAGCAACCTGTCGAATCACCGATCCTCAGAGTAATTAGACCGGTTGGACCAACCGTCCCAATCGAATTTCAGGGCTAAAAGTATTTTGAAAAAAGCCTTCCAACCGGTTTTGCTTGAAGGAGGTATTTGGACCAAAAGTGTGGGTACAAAAGTTGAAAAAATTCTAAACTTCCTCACGAGAGCTTTTCCTAGAATTGTCTCTTTGATTTTGCAATCAAATTTTACAGTTTTTAAAAATTTAAAATTTCGTATTCCTGAATTTTAAGACCAAAAAAAGAAAATTCTAAATAAAACTCTGGGGAGGTACTCCAGAGTTCGGTTTGAACAACTTTTGCTCTTCACATTGAAGTTTGAAAGTTTTTATGAAATTTCCAAAAACCAAGCAAAAAACCTCAAAAAAATTTAAAAATTTCTTTTCTGAGCGAGACAATGTCTACAAAACCCAAAAAAATACTTCAAGGTGTCCTGTACAATCTGAGAAGGTTTGAGAGTATCTTTCGGAGGAGTCCGTCTTCCCTTAAGTTTTTAGAGCTATCTGGTGCTAGATCATCCAGATTAAGTTGAGATAAAACCTGAACAAAGTTTCGAACAAATTAGCCTTTCATATACATATCAGGGACTTGTTCACAAAAAAACTTAAGTGAAAAGGCGTCTTAAGTCAGATTTTTTAGCTAAGTGTGTTTCTCAAACATTACTTAACTTAAGTCACCTCTTGGTCCCACTTAAGTTTTCACGTCAAGCTTTGAAGTAGAAAATTGTTTAAATTTTGTAACTTCTTTATTAGAAGTCCGTAACCCATCCAACCCATCATAATAAGACTGAACATAGTTTCTCAGAGATTTTGTTCAGAAAATTGTTGTAAAGCAATCTAAGTTGTCTAAAATATGAATGATTTTTACTGCATGACCTCTGCCTGATTTAAGTTTTTTAAGAAACGCACGTAAGTCAAAACTTAAGTTTGGCTTAAGTGCGACTTATATCATTAAATTTTGACTTCAGTTTCCACTTGAGTTGAAAACTTCAGTGTTTTTTAGAAACGTACCCCAGAACCACATATACCAACATCTGAATAAACCATATATACACTGTAAATTTGAAAAAAGAAAAAATCCGTGGTGTTTTCACCTGCTTTTCGGTGAACCACATACAAAAGTTCGTTCCCTTATTGATTAAGGTCCGTGAAATATGTAATCACGGGCTTTTCAACCTGGAAGCTGTCAGCCAGCTTCGTAAAAATATGGACTAAAGTGCGTGAAAAATTACGGGGTTGGCTGCCAGCTTCCAGGTTGAAAAGCCCGTGATTACATATTTCATGGACCTTAATCAATAAGGGAACGAACTTTTGTATGTGATTCAGAGAAAAGCACGTGAAAATACCACGGACTTTTCTTTTTTCAAATCTACAGTGTAGTGTATATATGAAATCTTTCTGTTAAGGCAACAATTTTATTAGTTCAATTTTTGTACCAATAAAAAACGAAGAAAATACCTCAAGTCGTATTCAGCTGGTCGCTAGTAAGCGAAAGCGCTGAAGTTATTTTCGAACCAAAACTCCTATGAATATAATCGAATAATAAAATAAATGAGTAGTAATCAAGATATGACAATTAAGATACTATTGCAGAGCGTTTCATGTGGTATTGACTCTTTTTGTCCCTCTATCTGTCTTGACTGTTAGCTGTCAGTATCAGTATACCGGCGGTAAATCGCGACGTATTTTGGCTGAAAATGGTTCTTATTGCATCGTGACCAAGAACACCGTTCCTCTGTCTGTGATTTCGTAATCTGATTGATAGTAGGCGGCGATTATGAACGATTCTGCCAGATAATTATTGTGTTCAGTCAAATAACGTATTCTTTTCTTTTTGAATTTGATACTAGACATCGAGAATTCTAGAAATAATATCTTCTTTACAATTCTTTCACTTGAACGATGTGAAATCGAATCGAACATTTGTTTCGGTTGACATAGCTGTTCATGCCATTTTGTACGTAGACGTAGGTATTTATTAATCTAAGATATCAAACAGCATGAAAAGAAATTAATCGTCACCCATTACTAAATGCATGGTATACATTATAAGTAAAATGTAAACATAGTGAAAATTTTGGAAAACAAATCACGTATACGTTTACATTATTCACTTGTTATATTTGAAAATAGCATTCATCTCACAATAAGGGGTTACTAGTTTTTCCTTACTACACAAGATAAGATTGAAAAAGATGTTATTTGACCCATGCTACATCTTTGTTTTTAACAAAAGAATTGTCCAAGCAAAAATTCTCCGTGGAGAAAAATTACTTTTATTCTTAAATATAATCGGGCGTTTCTTCATAGAAAGAACTTGATAAATGAATCTTTTTACCGGATTATTTAATTGTAATCTAGTAGTGGACCTATCATTAGATTGACAACATTTGATAACAATGGAAGACTAACAAGTAGGTTCAAAGTACAATTAGTCGCTCGACTAAATCAGTTTTGAACATGTAAAATGTTCGCTAGAGCAAAGTTGTTAACCGATTGGTTCAATTAACTACAATCGGCACTAGTTTCAGTTGTCCGTTATTTGTGCCAAGAATGAAAAAACAATCTAGGTGAATGTTATTGCTTTTGAAAATAAAGAAAAACATGTGATGAAAACAAACATTCTTAGAAAAAACTGCATAACTTTAACTGAAGTAAACAAACAAAAAATTTTGGACCATTCAATCGTTTCTAGCAGGAAAACTAATATTGATTGTCTAAACGCTGAGATGAAACATGAAATATCTAAGAGAAAAATATATATATAAATCAAAGTATAAAAAAAGAACGAAAAAACAGTAAAAGAAATTTTAGATAAATGATAACATGGTACGGATAGTTTAATTCAAAATGGACCGTCGTATTGACAATAATGCTTGTATAAGAACATATCCAAACACCGCTGAATACAATAGTCTATCACGAAAATCACGTCGTTGTAATGAACGTTCTATTTGATGTACACGGTTTTCTAACGACCGAAGTTCAATCAAATGTTCGACAAGATTTGAATTACTATCTGTTCCATACGGTTCAATATGCCATCTAAACAAAACAATTGACGATAAAAGCTAAGAAAATAGTTGAATTTTCAGATTGCACAGAAGTGGAAACACTAATCCGAAGCGAAGGAAAACATATAGACCGTTTTTCTCCTGGATGCAGAAAATGTTGATAAAAACGTTTTTTGGTTAATAGTTTATTCTCTCCAAAAATAATCCTGATTACAGACTGTGACAGTATTCATATTTATTTTACGTACACATCTGTACTAACAGCATTTGATGGTTGTAATGTATTTCGTTGTAATTGTTGTGATGGTAATGTTGAGTTGTCATAATCGTCATCGTGTGGTTCGAAATCCACATGTCTCATTGTTGACGGTAATGAGTGTTGAGTTGTTGCCGATGATGATGGTTCTTGATGGTATAAATTATTATTAAAATTAGAATCTGTTAACAGAACCACACTTCCATTACCACCTAAGAACAAAAAATAAGAATATTTTAATCTTTATTTTAAACATTGTATTACAGTAACTAATTATTGCATGTACGCAAAACTAGTAAAACCGTAATATACGTATAAAACTTCAGACTAAATGGAGAAAGTAGGAGTCATTTGGTTCTGTTTTTAGATTCGAGTTTAGAATGGACATTTTTATTTTCTATTTCAATATACTAGACAGAATCTAAATTTTGTAAGAGAATATCATATTTTCAATTCCTAAGTCTTAGATCACTTGGACAACTTCAGAAAAGTACTTGCTCATTATATGGATGTTATTTTCACAAAAGATAGTTTTTCTGTTCAAGGATTCATATCATATCCAGTAGAGTTCACATAAAAATGTCTGTAATTCTTTTGTCATCATTTTGAATAATACAAATAGAGCTACGATATTATATTCAATTTTAATACCTCTTATCGATGCCAAGAAAGATAAAATATTTTTAATTAATGTTTTCATTCTTATACGATCTCGTTTAATTATTAACATCACCTAGAAAATGTCAGAAAGAGAAAAAAATAAAAACAATTGTTGATACTATTTTTTTCATTTAGAAAAAAAACAAGAAAAATCGAACAAAATTAATGATAATGCAAAAATATCATTAATGATATAATATCAAATTAATGGTATGCAAATAATGTTTAGTCACTTTTCTCCAATATAACTTTTTCGAAAGATCTGAATGTTCATTTTTTTTTAAAGCAAAATTTTGTGCTCTTCCTGAATACAGAGTGGACCAGAATTACTGAAACGAACGTTTCAGTAAATTCTAGTCCAACCTTTACGTACTCGGAAATTTTGTATCAATTTCATTCCAGAACACTATAATTTGAAAATATTCTTAACATTCTTCAATACATCAACAATTTTCATTACAATTTGATTCAACAAAAAACCAATTTATCTTATTTCTACTTTACACATTTTTGGTGTAATCAGCAGTAAATTAAATATCGCTATTTTTATACAATCATCTGTAAATACAAGACCACTTTTTATTTGTATTTATTGTTATTGAAAATTGTTGAATTTTTATTTATTAATCATAGTTTATTTCTAAAAATATGGTTTTAATATGCTGATAAAATCAATTATTTTCTATAAAATTCATTATTACATTGACTACAGTGCAATATTGGCACCATCTACTTTCGTAAGACTAACTTTAATAGAACATTATATAATTATTTAGTAATCTATTAATGGCATAATATTAAATGAAGATTATTTTTTCTCATACAATAAACTAATGATCAATTAAACATTAAATACAATGAAAAATGACAAATATCTAGCCTAAATATTGTCTCTCATTCAAAATATCCATTTTATTTTTTAATTAAATTAGCTGTGTTTTATATCTCTATATTTAGTTCAAAAATAATTCGATACATAGTAGATTAACAAGGTTATATATCACAAATCAATGGATAATTGACATAAGTCTAGCAATAGTGAATGTTATACTGATAGACAAATAATTATAGCTTTCATCTTTTTAAAGCTGTCCACATAAGTTTTGTAACTTAAAGTATGACTCCTTGTCAACAACGAAAAGTAAATTACTTCTAGTGTAACTCTGACAAAGATAGAATAACATGTAAGTATCACTTTGTGGCGTATGATGTGTACGATTATTGCTCTTTCATGTCTTAGATCGTGTCCATACTATAAAATTTAATAAAGTTTTATAGAGTTTGAAAATTTGAGTTGGTTAACAAGCGCCATTAGATATTGTAGTTCTAAACATGGTCTTAGATTTGCATAACCGAAAAATGTACCGATATTTTTAAGTACGTTTTATCTCAAACTGATTTTATGGAAAAACTACTCATCTTTGTGAAATTTCTACTATGCATAATATATTTTTAAACAATAAGGTTTATGAAACTTGACATATGCGAACCTGGTCTTATTCTTTCTGGCACTTCCATTCTCACTGGTATATCGTCATTGAGACGAGGAGAATTTGAACGATTTGGTCCAACTGTAATTGAATCGGGTACATGCATATGATGGCCTATAAAAATAGAACAAATAACAAATATACTATTTATAACAGCAATAAAAGATGCTTGTCAACGTTGTCCAAACTTTATCCTTTTCCGATTTATACTTTAGAAACTTTATTAAAACGATGTGTTCATTTTCGGAAGAGCAAAAACAGTCTACTTTGTCTCAGAATGTCCTTTAAACTTAAAATTTCATTTGGCCTTCTGACAAAGGAAAGTCCAAAGGAAAAACGTTTCACAAAACGCGTAACTTACTCATATTAGCTATATGTTTCAAATCAATTTTGTTTTGAATAAGATCATCTGGATCATGTAGCGCTGGTATTTGATGAGGAATCGGTTTAACACCACCGCTGTTACCGCTTCCATAGCTCATGACAATCCGTTTGTTAATACGCTTTAAATCTAAAAAATTAATTTTCATCGAAATCGAAAAGAAAAATCGTTTACACGTGTTTATTGTATAAAATAGCAGAGAAAAATTATAAAATATGTCCGTTCAAATTTGTAATACTTGTTATCAACTGATAAACAACATTATACACGATATAGATAGAAGAACAAAAGGAAAGACACAACATTGAAGAAAAAAATGCCAGATAAACATGTTTCTCTCTATAATCGTTGTTTATAAAGGTATATATATGTATATATATAGTGTGTGTGGCTAAAAAGATTTTTGTATATATGCAAAAAGTCAAAACAGAAAATAGCCAGTTATGCCGTAAATAAAAAAACAACAAATAAATCTTGATCGAAACAAATTTCCTAATAAACAAAAACGAACAAAAAAAGGAAATCTAGAGTGATTCTATCTATACATGAAAGAAAAAAAAAAATTAAACTAAACATGCTGAATAGTTTTTTTGATCTGTTGATTGCTGTTGTTGTTGCTGTTGGTTTTTAAATATAAGAATGGATTCCGATGACCAATAGAGATTACACGATTTATAAACTAATGTCCACACATACGGAACAAAAAAGTCTTCTGGTTGTTCTTCTTCAACATATTTAAATTTTAATTCAGGAAATTTCTAAAAATAAAAAAATAATTCAATTATTAAAGTCAAAAGTAATTGTCATATTATCTTACCTTTAAACGATCAAGAGGAAATTGTCGTGCACCCAAGTCTAATGCTTCTTTGACATAATCAACTGAACGTTGTTCTAACTTATCAACTTTATCAGCAAAAAACATAATAACCTAAATGAAAGCAAAAAATAAAACAAGAACAAATAATGTATTAATCTACAGATCAGTAAAAGTCATCCTTGAATTCGATTCGCTTGGGAAGAAAAAGCAAGGAGGAAACTGTTGACTTTAGACTTGATTGGAGTTACGGAGACTTTACCGAACTTTAAAGTCCCCAAAGGCCGCCGACTTGAGCGCACTTTGGGGACTTTAAAAGATTTGAGAGGACTTTAAAGTCCGCAGTTTCCCCCTTGAGAAAAAGTCAAAGAAAAAAATACGTACTGTATCAATATTTTGTAATATATCTTGAAATGATGGATGTGTCTTGTATGTTTCAAATATATTTCTGTTATACAGTAAAGTGTAAATCAAATTTGTATTATGAACCAATGTATGTGTTAAACAGGAATTAATTATTTCCAGTACCATTCGCATAACATCTTCGATAATTGTTAAATCTTGAACATGATCATTCAAAACTTGATCTGTCACTAATGGATTAGTAGCTGATGTTGCTAATGTCGATGACAATTGTTGTTTTGAATGTAATTGAATTAAATCTAATGTTTTTGCATGTTTACGTGATAATAGATTAAAGAGACTAACAATACGTTGTGTAACATAAGAATGAAGATGTTGAAATTGTGAACTCATATTAGCTAGAGCAGCTAAACAATTTGTATGTAAATATTTATCACGCATACGTGTCATATTAAATTGAATTGTTCGTAATACAACAGCCACTAGTAAACCACCCAATGTTATCTCATTTAATGTACGTTCAGTATACCTTTAACAAAAAATAGTAAGATTCAAAATTTTCCAATAAGAATATAATTTACCACGTTAATTTCTTTAATTTGATATCATGAATTGTTTTATTAAAATAATCATCTTCAGATAAAATTAGTAAAATAATCAATGACATATAGATATGATGTGAATTTCGTTCATGTGCCGAATAGATTACACGAAGAACAGGCAATACCTATAAACAAAACAATACAAAATAAAAATGAATATAATAAGAAATAGGAAATACAATTTGATCAATATTTGTTCGTGATATAACATAAGCTTTAAAATGTTGATTTCGATGTAATAACATATAGAGTAATAGTGTACTTTGATCAGTGTGAACTGTACGACATAGTACATCATATAAACGACGATAATCAATTGAAAACCAAGGTAAAGGTTCAGAATCTGGCAAATTTGTAGGACTATCTAAAAAAATTCAATTTACAGACAAATTTATAAAATCATCATAATGATTTCATTTAATTACCCTATCGTTTTCTAAAGCTAGTAAGTAAAGCGGTGTGTGAAAAATATTCAACGTTATAGGATTTCTATTAGTCAGACTAACAACCGTCAGTTTTTGACTTGAGGCAGGGAAGATATTCCTGTTAAGTGATTTTGGGAGTCTTTACTTAAGCTAAACAAATACTACAAAGTAGAGTTTGCAGTTTTTACAAAGGCACGAACAATAAACAATAAATATCCGAGTTAAATAATAACAAAAATATTTGCACGTTAAACTGAACTCTGGGTGACAAGCATAGGAAGTCTCAACGTTATTAGCAGCTTATATAATGAAGCAAGAGCGCTGAACAAATAAGCTGACCTTGCACATTGGTTGGAGTACGAAACCGGGGAGGAGGCACTAAAAATAAGAGATGTAAACGAGGCTCCGCTAATTCCATTATCAATTCACTGTTTCATTGATCAACACTAAATTTTAAATGTAAAGTTACTTTAAATAAAAATTACCTTCTGTAAAATGTAGTAATGCCAGTCTGTATGGATTTTTATGTGCATCATTTGTGAAATGATTTGATAATATCAATAATAAATGGATACTTTGATTCGATAGCAAACGATTTCGAAGATCTGGTGGAATATCAGAGGTTGAATTACTATTAACATCCTGATCGTCTACGATAACTGTTGTGGTTGATGTTGACGCAAGACCAAGTGTAACAACAGACCATAAGCCAGCTAGATAAAAAGAAAATAGATGATAGACATTAAAAGTCATTTATTATTCTTAGTATAAGAATATTTTCAATTAATGTTTAATAAAATACAACTCAAACTAGTTACTTATACGAATACTTACATGCAACGCTTTGACCAAGTTTATAAAATATTCCACTGTCTGCTTCAACTGTTGAGGCAAGTGATTGTGGACAAGGTATTTGTTTGATATAATGTTCCAGTAATGTACGAGTAAACTCAGATACTAACAATGAACTTATAACAAGAGAAACAACAACTAGAAATCAGTTTTCATAGAAGACTTACTCAAGACGATGCATAAATATGTTGTAAACAGCACTAATTAACGATGCTTCTTTGGCACACATCTGAATCGATAATAATGCAAGTAATGTGTTTAATACTTCAAGATGTAATGGATAAGAATATGGCCTAAAACAAATAAAAAAAATCAGTTATAAATGCAATACAGTCTAACTCAGTTTTGCACATATCCACAGATAAATATTCTTTACAAATGGTTCCAAGTAAATTAGAAATGTAGTAGAAACACATGAACTTACATGACTGGTATGGTTATTGTTGTCCGAAATAGTGTATCAACAAAATTCGTCATTAGTGACAGTTTATCTAAATAAATAACTTGTTGTTACAAAAATAAGCAAAAAAAATGTTCTTTTTAGTATCAGAATTACCTTGTATTAAAAAATACGGATAGAGATTTTGTTCAGAATCGATTTCAATAAAATATTTTGTTATACAACGTAAAACCAGCAACGAGCTGTAGGTTTGCCATGTCACCACCGTACTGGAATTGAACAAATTAGTTTCTTACAAAGAAACAATCTTTAAGAGGGGTTTTTAAACACGTACTCTTCACATTCCTCGCGAACTTCATTTGCTAGACGGATAAATACTTCAATTAACGTTCCATAATTATTCGTTTTTGGATTATTTGTTTCAAACTGTTGAAGTAGTATCGAACAACACTCGTCAATTAACTTTGAATGAGCACTAAAATGAAAAACCACAGACAATACAATTTAAATGAAAGCAAACAAAACAGATTTATTACTCACGTTGTAAATGGAGAAACAAGACGAAATGATAAAAACTGATTCCAGAATGGATCATTAACAGAAATAGATTCTTCACCAACAAAACGCGATAAATATTCGTTTGATTTTAAATCATTTAAACTACTATACTGAGCACCCATTATCTAGAGACCAAAACAACAGCTTACTGGTTGTTCAAGTTGAATATGGATAGATTTATAGCCGAATGAACGCAGTTTCACCTAAGATTTAAAGCTGTCTTACTTCTTTGTCACTTGTAGTTAACAATGTCCGCTATTTCTTGAAAAGCATTTTTTCGAGCGATTCGATCTGGCAAAACTTATAGCTCCATTAACTTTTCCTTCTGCGTATCCTGAGTACTGTTCACATTTGCCACTAAAAAATGAGTGTATTTCTATAGGAACTCTAAAGTGCATACATTCAAAAGATTCCTATTCCTCGTGTTATTGTTTGTATTTTTTCGTTTTTTAAATTGTATTCGGGAATGAGTAAACCAAAAACCAAAATTCAATGAGACATGTTAGTTCAAATTAAGTTTAAGATAACGAAATTAACAATTAAGAAGAAATTAATCAGGATCGTAGGTAGAAATAACTTGATGAGATCATAGTGTTTTTTTTAGCTCCGAACAAGTTTCCTGACACTGACCGACTTCGAATATATGTAGAGATATCTTGCTAGGTTGAATTTCAGAACAAACATTGGCTAAAACGTTGATAAATAAGGCTAAGACGAAGACTGTTTTATTCATGAAAAGTGAGTATGAGTACCTCTCACCTTGAACTTAGCAAAAAACAGCTGTTTCACACTTGTGATGACACAGTACATAGTAGTATTAAATGTACGACACAGCTAGTAACTTAAATGAGTACATAACTCTGCTTTCACTTAGTTCTTCATAAGAAACTAACTTATACAACCCTAAAACTCTCTAAGTTTTTAATTCTACTATTATATGATGACCTCATCGTCTTCAATGGTTTGAAGATACAAGGATTCAATTGTACACGACATTAAGAATACGAAAAGATGGACGTGATTCGGCAAAAAAGTCTTCAATCCCTGTGCGAAACGAGTCCCCTAATAAGCAAACACTTCGATATTAAGACAATTAAAAAACACAAAATTTTTTTACTTTTTTGCGTCTTATAACTGATTTATAGTAGGTGAAAAACTTCATTTCAGGAACATTAAAACTCTAGAAAAAATTAAATATCTTATTTGTATACTCCTTGTATAAAAAACAGCTCCCTATATACTTAGAGAGCGTCACAATCAGCATTTTATGCTCTTATGATGTAAACATCGTTCGTTAAATGGACTTTTAACTTCATTCCCTTACCGTCTTTAAAAGGAAATTTGGCTGATATATTCTAATAGTACTTTTCATATAAAGCTCTATACCAGCTGCGGTGCTAAGCAACTTATTCAATTTTCTTAGGCTTTTCAATGGCCAATTTTTACGGAGCTACTATTAAATTGTCTCTACAGTTCTTGGAACGAGGACAGGACATTTCCTCAATTAAATTATTGTAAATATCTATGAATAAGATTTAAATTAGAAAAATGTCCAAATCTATCTTAGATCTTGAAGAAACACGAGAAAAACGTGATATTACATTTGAAAAAAGTATAAAAAATTTACAAAATGAATTTACAACATTAATATCGTCAGATTGTTATTATTTCACACAAGAAATATGCGATCAAATTAAAAATATAAATCATGCATTGAACAACATTAAATTAGATCATGAATTTCAAGTTGGATCTAAACAATGGGCTAAACAATTTGATTCTGAAAAACTGAAACAAAATGAAAAAGGTATTAGACAGGACAAAATATTTATAGTAAAAAAATCGCTTCCCTAATTTACTTTCGTTTTTAGCTGTAAGTGATCTCATTAGAAAGGGACATGATCTTACTGGACAATTTAAAATGTATTTACGTAAAGATCTTGTTCAAACAAAAGAGGAAAATCAACTAAGGTCAGAGACGTATATGAAATAAATGACAAAACTTCGTCTATCCATATTCTTCTTCATTTTAGAGAACTTCACAGTTGGGCTCGCGACAACCTTTTGGAATATTTTCGAGTAAAGATTTTTAAACTATATTTTTTAAAGAACTATAGCAAATATGAGGACGATATTTCTTTTCGCATATACCTATCTTTCTGTTCTCTTTCTTTTCTATCGATGTTATGAGACGAAAAAATGTCCGCACATGAGATATCTTATATGAAAAGATATATCTCCTTATTTGCTACATTCCTATTATGAATCAGAAATCGTTAGTTTAGGCAATTCATCCTCATGCTGTGAGTTCTCATTCTCGACTTGATAACTTGGCGCATCACTTAGGCGTAACCGATCGTTACGTTGGATACCGTAATAACTTGACACGTGGCGCAGGTAATGTATTTGACACTCATCTTACATGGGCCGATAGAAAATTATCAGGATTAAAAACAGCCGGACAATTGACACCTGATTGGAAACGCTGGACACATGCGTTTCGACGTGAGTTTAAAAGTCTGTTATTTTTGACTATCTAAACATTGTTAGAAAATTCAGACTATGGTCCATCTGCAACAAATGCACATATAATTCAGTCAACTGCATGTGACAATGTTCAACGATCAAATAGCATGTATGGTAATCAAAAAACATTAGGCTATTTAGAATCGGGCAAGAGACAACAATTATCAGGTACTTTTTTGCTGTTTAGAAACAGTTTTTTAACTAAGGCTCGATACTGAGAAAAAAAGGCTGAAATTTCTAACCTATACATTGATATATAATATTGTCATCTGTATTGTGACTTGAAAACTAAACATTTGATTAATTTCAAATAATTATTGCCATTCTTATAACAATGTATATTGTTTTATGTAGTCATTTTCATTGTCAAAGAATTAGCAACAATAAAAATATACGATACTCGTTTACTGGTAACTGTTATAATCTGCTAGTTTCACAAGTTATCTAGTTTGCACTTAAATGTAAAAAATAGTTTTTTATTATCTGCACACGTGATTATCCATCTATAAATAGCTTACATACATACTGCTTGGTACATGGTAGCAAATAGATGAGTAATATGTAGAATTTTGTAGAAAACCTAGCTTCTTCGAAAAGAAGAGCGAGTGATCATTCTTTTCCGCCGCTTATAGATTATATTTTTAACCTTAATCCATCATTTTTTGTACGAGCACAGAACGGTAATTGTTACATCCTGCGCTTATTATATATCCTTTCTGCTGTGTTTTTTGTGATATTGTCGATGGTTAAAAGTACAGTTAGTATTCTTATTGAGCCCTAGTTTTGTAAGAATAAAAATAATGACTCGAATTATTACCGTGATGATTGTCATTTGTGTCCGCTTACTATTATCTTGTGTGGAAAAATTATGATAAAGCAAAATATATGTTATAGCTTTAGTAGAATGCATCCTATCCTGCTGTTTTGTTTGCATGGCGTAAACCTAGTATTTACTCTATCTAAGCTATTTCGTTATAAAATGAATTTATTTTTTAGAATTTAAACGTCCAAGCACAACGCCTGTGACATCTCGTAGTTGTGCAAATTTTTACCATCAAAATCAGTCTCAAGATTCAGAATCAATTGCACGAAAGGCGGGTATTAATCCATACTTTCCAGGTAATCTACTTATTCTTAACTTATTCTTTTAGAACAATAGGTATCAGTCGATCTATTCATTTGTTTAAGGAAGCAGTGAATATATGGATCGTTATAAAAAACAGGAAGGATTTCAATATTCACCATTCATTATCAATCCACAGCCCGATTTTACTCTACAAGGACGACCATTAACCTATTTAGAGCCTGATTCGTTATGTTCAGAATATAATGTTCGGTAAGTAGATGTAAGAACTTACTCTGATATATATAACTATTGATAATTTTAACTATCCTAGATACGCATGGCCAGATGCTTCAAAGATCGAAAAGTTTCCTTGGTTACGTTATTCGTGATGACGTTAATCAGACATGATTCTAACTCATAGTTCTCGTTACTTTTAGCACATGTCATCTTTCTTAAACTTTGCTTTGTTTGTCGTATACTTAGCGAACTTTCTAGAAGAATTTACTCTCTCAGTATGTTTCCTTTACAATCACAAAATCCACATAGCTTTTGCAAAGATACGTCTGAATAGGCATACAACGGTTAAAAACCGATATTTTTAGTTTTTACGGAAATAGATTATATGAAGAGTATGGCATATTAATTTTTTCTCATAACTGAGTTTTGTAGAGCAAACATTTCTCTATAAAATGAGCTGTGGGGAATCTTTCCATCTCTTTTCCTGGCATTCGCCTTTCTACGAAGTGCTCCATTTATAGATTTCAGTTGTGTAACCGAAACCGATAAAGGGGGCTCTTATTGATCTAGAGAAATGTCTGCTCTTCAAAACTTAATTGTGAGAAAAATTTAATATGCTAACTCTTCGTACAATTTAGTTTTTGCGAAAAGAGGATAAAAAACACGTGGCATGTCTACGACTGAAAGTTCTGTACAAAAATATATTGAGTACTTTATCAAGATACAAAAGTATATTACAATATGGACAACAAACAACCTATTCCTTTTCAAATTTTTCGATTACACAACAGTCTGAAGAATTTCATATGGTGGAAAAGTCATGCTTTAGAGTAAAACAGGTAAGGGAAAAAGATTCTCATGCAACTAGTTATAATGTGGGAAAACATAAATTTTATGTAGAGGACAGGTTTTTAGCGGCCTTTTGCAAAAAAAATTTACGGCTATTGCATATGTAGAAGAAAAGTTACGAGGAGAATATTAAGAATGCAATTTCTTCTGAACCATTCATTGTTTGTGTATGAGCAAATGAAACTATGTTTGATGGTGTTTCAGTCTTTCATAATTGAAGTTTTTTATCGAACAGAAAAGAAAGTGGAACAACAATATTTATTTTTTCAAAAACTATTATCTATTAAAAAACATAATGCAGAAAACTCTTTTCAGAATAACGTTTGATACACAAACGATAAGAGATGCGGTTTTCGCCAGTTTATAGAAGACACTGGGGTAAATCTATTCGTAAAAATAACAGATCCAAAATCCTGTCTGCAGGCGGTGTAGCTATCTTTCGTAGGCAACGCTGCCATTTCCTGGGTTTCCATAGCAACCTATAGTTTCAGAATATGCAGCATGTCTACTGACATCTATGCTCTAGACCCACGCAAGTCTAAGACCTCCATCTATCATCGTTCGGGCGTGGCACAACTTCTCCGAAGGCATCCCTACCAGGCGGCCTTGGTTGTTGGTAATCTCGGAAGTGAATTGAGCATAGGTTTTCGACTATTTTAAATCTCGAGGCAATGCTTGTGTTTAGAAAAAACTTCAGAAACTTAGCGGAAAGCTATACTATGTTAAATAATGCATTTTTCACTATTTTCACCGTAAATTAAAAATTCTTAATTCACTCGAAATCGATCCAGACTACTTCAAAATATCAAGACATACTCTGCTTTATCTACAAATAGGTATGTCGGTTATAATCGCACTGTGGGCACTCAGGTGGACATCTGGCAAAAAACCGAAAATGATCTGCTTCCAGATTTAAATAGTGGTACATATATTTTTAACTATGCTCTATTTAATGGTATAAAAGATTTTTGTTACAAGTGTGGTTGACCGTAGAAAAATTCTAGGATAAAAATTAGTCTGAAAAGCATCATATTTAACGAAAAGTTCATTTTTTCTACAAACCACAACGCTTGAAATAGAAACCAGACATATTCTGAACCTAGGTTCTCTAAGTTGTCGATTTATAAAAAATTCTCGTTTGGATCTCTGCTTTTGCAGTAAAAAAATTATTTTCCGAACCAATCGCTTTTCTAAATACATATCATCAGTATAGTGAAGTCATCAATTTTAGCGAACCTCAGAATGAGCCCAAATTTTGGTAAATATGTTCTTTTGCATATACTACACGCATACACATAGCACAAAATAGCAATATGTTTTTAGGCCTCGCTATAGGTATAGTAATTGAATCTGACTTTGGCAACCTTATAAGTTTAAACTACATGATTTAACAAATTCAAAGAAAATTTAACTTTCCTTTTTAGAGAAAATCTCTCAAAAATCTTGGTTTTTCGTTCAAGATCTTCTGAAAATCCTTTAGAACAAAATAATTTTTTAATCAAAACTACATTTTTAGATAGAGAAAAATTTGCTCCATCCAATGGGCATATTCAAAGAGAATTATCATTGCTATTTAGAAATGTTCGCATTCAAGAAATTTGAAATGTAAAAAGGCTACTATGCCAAGACTTAGATATAGGTGTTTCCTAATCTTGGCCAAAAACACTTTCGTTTTGGATCTAAGACAAAGTTTCTGTTATAGTTTGTTGTTTATCATGATCGCTATTCTCTCAAAATTTTGTCCGTAACACATGTACTATGACGAAAATATTTCCAGAAGCAGGAGTCGCCTTCAATAAATTAGAAGAAAAGTAGAGGAAAGTGGATATCTTTCAAAAATATCGCTCGCAAATAGGCCATTTTTTAACACAGAAAACACATTACTTAAATAAGTAATTCTATCCGAGAGTTCTATAATCCTGCTCGTTAACTGAGCATACCATGAAATAATCCACAGAACTGTATGGCATTTGTGCCAAAAAAAAGCCCACACACTAAGCAAGCCTCGAAACGTCCAGTAAGGATATAGCAATAATGAACTAACTACTAGAAGGATGTGCATTGGTCTTTTCGATGATTACAGCATCTTGAATCAAATGTTGTATGTGTATAACTGTAATATAAACATGTAACTTACACAACTGTAATCAAAATGCAAAAATAGACCTGATTTGTCCTCGAGCTTCTCTAAATCGACTATACCAAGGCTTCCGAATTGAGACCACTTTTTTGGTTAAAAATTATTAATTGGATTAAAAAAGTGGTCTCAATTCGGAATAGAAAATTTTAACAAGTTAGTCATGCTAATTAAGATTATATATAACCTTTCTGATAAAATATAAATTAGAATTATATTTTACATGTCAATAAGGATGTTCGGTTCTCGGTTCTCGTTAACAACTAGAACCGCGGTTCGGGTCTGCAGGAGGAACCGGAACCACGATTCTGTTGTTTTCGGTTATTCATCGGGAACCGGAACCGCGGTTTTATAGACGGTTCCTTTGTTTTGGAACCGAGACTTTTTTAAACATAGATACTAGTTTTATTTCGAGAAAGCTTTATTTAGCGTTCATAAGGTATACTTGTACGCAACTTCTTTTACATGAGATCTTCTATACCTTGCGAACCCACCGACTCTTCTTAGATAACAGATAAAGCCAATAGTATTATGTCGTTATACTGGCCATAACTTCTGGTCTTGAAACTGTTAAGATCAGACGAGAGAAAAGTACAGCATTAAAAGAAAAAGAACGAGTGTGAACGGACGATCAAATTTATATTCCTTTATGAAGTGCAAAAAGGACCGGGGAAACAATAATTCGTTCCTTTCTCTTTTGCCTCATCTTTTTGTTTTGTTTTTCTTTTAACAAAATGAAAACACACTATTGACAAAGCTGCAAAAAGATATATTTGCCTGCCATTATTTAAAAGAATCCTCTGGTTTACTATAAAATGAATTTTATTTTATTAATTGTTACTACCTGAAAAATTCTTGTCCAGTTCTGCGCTGAAAACCGAGAACCGCAGTTCTTTTCGTTTCGGCTCTAAGTCGAGAACCGGAACCGAGAACCGAACATCCCTACATGTCACAGAAAAAAAATAATACGGAGAAACAGAATTGTATATGAATGGCTTAGTTTATACTGCGATTACTAATTATTTTGTCAATGATGGCCAATATTACTGTTGACTGCATCTGTATTTTGCAATGTAAATGCGTATTGGTCAAACGAAAATGAGCCTTTCCACTAGTGTTTATGAATATACTCAGTCTAAAAATACGATTTGCAATCGTACTTTTAAACTGAAGATGGAATATAAGGGGACAATTTACAAGGCATATGAACGCACTGTAAAATTTTAATTATAATGACGTCTGCAACAACCACACATTTTTCTCGTATTAAAAGTGAAAAAGATCAAAATGCTGTCTGTACTTTATAAAGGTTATTTATATCGGTTAAAGCGTTCAAATAAGAACGGTACTGAAAAATGGGTTTGTACTCGTAATTCGTGTTCTTGTTCAATAACAATAAAAGATAATGCAATAATTGGAAGTTATTGTATTGATGATAATGGTGTATATATGTTGTAGCCAAACTTAGAATTCAGCAAATTTTAAATTTGGCCGACGATTCTCAGCCAAAATTAAAATTTCAAGTTTGGCTGGGATCGTTCAGCCAAATTTAGAATCTGACTAGCATTCTCAAGCCAAAATTAAAATTTTAGGTTTCACTAGGCAAAAACTAGAAATTTTAGCTAGAAATTGTCTATTATGAGATATAGAATTATAAGTTAACTTGTAATGATTTGGGATTAGGCTAGTCGAAATTAGAAATGTGTTTAGAAAAAATATATTATATGAAATATATTTATTATACGCAGGCACAATAACGACAGAACAATGAGGTATAAAGAATGTATAATGGTGTGTCTGCTATTTCTATATTTGATAATCAAGAAAAATTATTTTATGATGAAATTGATAAACACATCAATAACTTAAATGAAAAATTTCGACAAAAAGCTGTTATTAAAAAAGACATATTTGATAGTATTCTAAAGTTTTACGTGCAGAGAAAGGTAAAAGTGTGGAAGGCGTGAATGATTCATTTGTGTTTTGAAGTCGAAAGAATTTCGTATTACGGGAGATATTAGGTGTTGAAATAGTATGCTGTGTAAAATTCAAATAACCGGTTTGTAAGTAGTATGAATCGTTTTATAATATTGTCAAGGAAAGTCATGAGACAATTTCTCACGGAGGACAAAACGTTAGCAGAAATTTTAGCCCATTATTCGTGGATACCCAAAATTGCTGTAGAGATCTATCTGAAGTATTGCATACCATGCCAGCATCGAAAACCCGTAAAAACACCCGTTCTAAGTAAGCCGATACTATCTCTTGGTGTCCTAACTCGTCTTCAGATCGATTTGATCGATATGCGTACTCGCCCTAATTGTATTTCTAGTGATGTTGTGTATCAATGGATATTGCATTGCAAAGATCATTACTCAAAATATTCATGGGCTTACTCGTTGGTGGATAAATCAGCTGATGGTGTTGCCAAAAAATTGCGTGAATTATTTTTTACATTTGGTCCACCAAAACTATTACATTCGGATAATGGTGCCCAATTCGTCGCCGATGTCATCACTGCATTAAAATTATTATTTCCTGATATGTGTTTTATTAGAGGCGGGCCAAGGCATCCGCAAAGCCAAGGTTTGGTAGAAAGAGGTAATGGTGTGCTTTGTAATTCTTTAGGTAAATGGATGTCATCAACGAATTCGGAGCATTGGTCAGACGGTCTGCTGCCTGTTGTGTATGGAATAAATACACGTGTAGCATGTGGTATTAAATATACACCATATGAGATAATGATGATGTTGTACGAAAATTGTACGATGAACATTTAACACATAAAGTAGTATAATACAAAGTAAGCGATTGCGTAGGTATTAAAATTATTGAAGTTGATCGAACAAACATTGATGTTAAACTGCTGCCATGTTTAATTCTTTCGAACGAAAAAAAAGATGATGATTTCATTTTTAGAATGGCATGCAAATTTGGTAAACTTGCGATCGCGCATACGGTTGAAAGCTTGATCGATTTGCGATCGGCATGCTCATCAGATTTAAAACTAAACGAAGTAAATTCCCTTGGTGAAATAACAGTAATCGAAGCCGCAAAATTATTGGTTCATGGTGCTGTATCCAGTGCAATATGCGATTGTAAGACTAAATGTGGGACGAAACATTGTCCATGTAGAAAAGTAGGAGTGGCATGCTCAACAAAATGTCATGTTAAACAGCGTGAATGTCTGAATTCGACTTAATTAAAATTTTGCTTGTAGGACATGTCCAAAAAATCAGTAGAATTATATCAAAAAAAAAATTATAAAAATTGAAATTTACAAAAATATGCATGTCTTCACTCCACAAAGTACCGCTCAAAAAGTTTTTTTTTATATTCATATTTCTTCAGCAAATTATAAATGTGGAAAAATTAAAAAAAATATTAAAAATAACAAAAACCAAAAAAACTTCAAATACCTTTCAGGGACTTCTAAAACGTTTCGTTATTGTGCCTTCGTCTAATAAATATATTTCATATAATATATTTTTTCTAAACACATTTCTAATTTCGACTAGCCTAATCCCAAATCATTACAAGTTAACTTATAATTCTATATCTCATAATAGACAATTTCTAGCTAAAATTTCTAGTTTTTGCCTAGTGAAACCTAAAATTTTAATTTTGGCTTGAGAATGCTAGTCAGATTCTAAATTTGGCTGAACGATCCCAGCCAAACTTGAAATTTTAATTTTGGCTGAATTCTAAGTTTGGCTACAACATGTACACTCTAAAAAATAGTCGTAGATTAATAAACTATCGAAAAGGGTTTATTAATCTACGACTATTTTTTAGAGTGTAGTCGAATGCATTATCCCAAATTATCAGAAAACGTTGTAGCATATATAAATTCAAATTCTGATTTCAGAATTGAGACCACTTTTTTAATCCAATTAATAATTTTTAACCAAAAAGTGGTCTCAATTCGGAAAGAGCTGAGTCTACACATGTCCCTATAAAAGAGAAAACAATTATTGAAATCTGCACTGTCAAACATCAACTTGATCTTAATCAAACACAGTATAGAAATACAACTTTTATTTGATCAATTCAATGATAACTCAATCGTTTATCAAAACCATTGTGCCACTCACAAATAAACAATATTAGAGTATAGTACACATAAAAGACTTTTTCTGCGTTGTTTTCACAACAATATATTTTTTTAATTCACTAAGAAATCTCGAATAAACAGTTATTGGCAATGTTTTTTGATTCATTTCATGTAACTGAGTATTTAATGATCGATAAGTTCCATCAGAATTTGTTTCACACATTTTATACAATTCAATTAGTCCACATCCATCCATATCATTACAAAGTGGCATCATTTGAGAGAGATTTTTATTCATAAGAAATTCTTGAACATCTTGTTCCGTCCAACGTTCGAGAAGAATTTTTGAATACGCATTTGTAGAATTAATAATTATTGGTTTTCTCGGTGTTTGTTCTTGTTCATTGCTGATTATTTTTGTTTTTTCATTTGGTATATCATGGTGTTCAATATAACTTTGTTTTGTGATTGACGGTTGTTGTGAACGATAACGACGAATTTCGATTATAAGCTTGTCATATGCTGTATCAAAATCAGTTTTTGTAAAGTCAATGTACATTTTACTAGCAGAGAGTATCCCAAGCCAACCGTCAGGTCGATATTTTTCTCTCATTATTAAAGGAATCAAGTTTCGTTGACGTTTAAATGCATATTCGGCTTCTACTTGACAATAGGAACTTTGTTTATAAAAATCTGACATACAGACCAAAACAAATTCTGAGTTTTCTATAGCTGAAGCCATTGCTGACATTGTCGAACCAAACATATTTTCTAAATCAATCCATACATGAAATTTATCCATCAATAAACGTTCATGAATTTTATAGCACAGCTCTTTATCACTGTGAGAATAACTCATCATTATATCGTAACGATTTTTTGCTGGTTCTACTTCTACTATCTCTTGTACTAACAATGATGCTCGTCTAAGTGTAACATGTGTATCAGTTTGAATATCTTCGGTTAGTATTTGTTGTTGTTGAACAATTTTTTCTTGTTCTTTGGCCATAAATTCTGCTTCTTTTTCCAATTTCCATATAATACCTTCGGCACATTTTGATACAGCTTCTTGATCTGATTTTAACAAGGATCTTATTCGAGTCATAAATATATCGTCTTTTCTCAATATATCGGCTGCTCGAACGTTAAAAGTCATTGTCCATAAAGTTTCTAGAGCTCTAACAAGTGCTAATGCGTTGAATTTTGTTGCACACTTAACCAATAGCGGCATACATTTTTGATCGACGATTTCTTCTTTTATTTGATCGTGTTGAACAAGTGCTAATAGAGAATAGCAGACAGAGGTAAAAATTATGAACTCAAACTAAATAATGGGACATTTAGCAGAACAGATATGTATGCTAGAGATCACTTTAACAACTTGCAGATTTGAATAGATTATTGCATGTTACCTTTTAAACCAGTGAGTAAACCGGCAACAGACACTCCTCTACAACGTTGAGATGGATGATCAACGGCTTCTTTTAAAAAATTGATAAAAACCGCTGTGATTTTAGTTGGATCAGCCAATTTTTTAATATCATCCTCATTCATGATACAAGCTAAAATCATGTAGGCATGCACTTCAATTCTATCATATTGTGAGTTTGTTAATTTCAAAAATGCTTGTGTCACATTTTTTTCTTTAATATAGGCTAATATATCTTCTTCAAGCGTTAAATTAAACAGACAAGCAATAGCTGAATTAATTAGCATCTAAACGAAATTATTGATTTTGATTAGAATTTTATTTTTATTATATATTAATTATAAACTTACTGACTGTGCGTTTGATAATGTATTTTTAACTTCGTTACATATATTATCTGCACTTAGAATAATCAAGATATCATTAACGATGTTTAATCGTTTAATTAACCGCATTTTACATGATTTCACATTACACGTGCCGGTTAGAACATTAGTTATGTGATGAATTGGTAAAATGATTGAATGGTTCCAGCTGTGTATCATGGGTATAAATTTACTAAATATTTGCTCATAGTTACTTAGCATTACATCAAGCAGTGCATTCGATGTTTCTTCTCGTCGTTTACCTATGTTTCAAGAAAAACATACTAGAATCAAATTACCTATCTATTTGGAAAACCGATACCAACCTTTATAACCAGCAAAATAAAATGGACATTGAACTAAAAGAAAATCATCTTTAACACTTAGTGTTGAACTGTCTAATTGAAGATTTAAAAATGAGTCAAGATAGTATTTTGAACAAATACACGTCCTCACTGGATCCAACAACAGCAACAAATTTGTATCATCCATGATTTCTGGTCTTGGCCGTTGAAAATCGGACAGTGCTTTCAATAGTATACCAAACGACTGTAAATTTGGATCATTTAAATGTTTTCCGTTGGTTCCTATACTTTGAATACATATTTTAATTATTTCCAAGTAGGGAAGTTTTAATAACCAGGTTTTGAACACTGGAATATTTATTGCATTTGTACTGGCTACCATTTTTGACAATAATTGACTTGTTTTAAGATAAATTGTTTCTTCTTCTTTATTTAATGTTTCATGTTCACTATGCCATTTCTTAATGATACTAATCAACTTATCTTGGATAATTATGAATAATTCATGATTTATTATTGAAATATCTGTTAGCGTTGAGCCAGGAACCTCATCGAAGCACTGAACTATTTCCTGTAATAAATCATCATTTGATTCTACTTTTAATTCTTGAACTACATCATTGAATAATGGTTTTAATGTTGTACTCGTAAGACTTTTCGCTTGTTCACGAATACTGGCACAACGTTGATTGATAATCATGTTTTTCTTTTAAAACTTTATCGTATTGTTACCTTAACATATTTCAAGGACACACTGTTGCTCAAATAAGTATGGCACACAAATAATGTAATCAGCATAAACTTTAAGCAGAAAAGAGAAGGTTCGCCATTGACAACAGAAAAATAACTTTAGTAGAACGAAAAAAAAGATGTGTGACGCAGAAATAAAGAAAAGATGACATAAAATATAACGCTTTTCTTTCTACAGAACTACCGTAAAGATGCATTAGATGTCGTTGTTCATACTCTGTCACACTCGTTTGTGTACATATCAGATACAAACAACAAATAGAGTAGCACAAGAAGTAAGTGTAAAGTGAATCTTTTATTGTCAGCTATGTATTTATGGACATTATTTACGATAATGATGTTTTGTTCTGGGGTAAAATTAATTGATCCTTTTAAAATCAGTTCAATAGTTTGTGGTAATGCGGTAAATTTATATTATTCAGCAAGATAGATCTTTCATGGACAAAGCGAAGACATTTTAAAAAGTAATGCTCAGCTGTTTCGGACTCATTACAATGAGTACAATTTGGTGTCGCAACGAAGTGACGTTTATATTGGTCTCCTAATAGAAAGCTGAAGCCTAGGCGTATGCGGGTCGGATGGATGATATTTATCCGAGTTCCTATACTGTATAAATAGATAACTAACTCGTTACTTATTATTCCGTCTTTAGACCCTACACATCAACTTATACAATTAAATATTGGCTTTTCTAAACTGAAGTATTATCTATCTAAGAAATTTCATTGATAGTTTTGACTGTGATCGTGGTGAAAAAGAAATCGCTGAACATTTTCTGCTAGGCTATCCTAATTACGACAAACATCTGAGAGTTCTAACTTACTAAAGAAACTGAATGTTTTCAATTATGATGTCAATAAAAATCTTCTATTGTCAGAAAAATATATTATTTTGTGTTATATCCGTATTTATTTGATAGCTAATGTGTGTAAGTTTATATAAAATACGGCTCGATTCTCTGTGACCTGATAAAAAAATGTTTTTCATTTCCATTGTATTCCTTAATCATTGCTTCACGTCTATTATTTTCATATATTTTGAACATTACATTTTCTTCAAAAATATTTTGCAATCATATATTGCCCTTTCTTATTGTTGTTATTTTTTCGTTCTACTTTCACTTTAATTATAATACTGTTGCTGTTGACCGTGTTCGGTGCAACGGCAAAATAATGCAAACATACTCTCTAAACTTAACCTAAAATAACGGTAAAAGAAATGGCTGATTGACGAAATAATAAAAACTTAAATATGTTTTGTTTGCCTTGGCGTGCATGAATAAAGAGATGCAAGGCGTTGAATTAGATTAAGTCATAGGTTCTGCTTTAACCGAAAGTATAAGACTGCACGTGTTTAAATCGCCCAAAACAGTAGTTTTGATCATCAAAGGACGGGGGTCGATAAGAGACAAAATCGGCTCCCTCTCAGATCAAGTTCATATTCACAGGTCTGATGTAGTTTTTCTCCGTGATTAAAACTAGCATCTCAAAAAAACCATTTTCAGCCCCCCTGGAAAAAAGTCGCATCCAAACTTCTCTCCCCTTAGATGAACTTTATTTAGAGTATTTCCTCATGTCTTGTCTTTCCTCAAAGCAAACCTCAACTACTGTATTACCACTCGATATAGAATTTCGTGGGCTACAAAATGATATATATAATAACGAGGTCAAACTGGGTCTGGGTGTCCTAACACTTGAAATACAAGCCCCGACCTTCACAAATCCATAGGTGAACAGCGTTCATCGCTTATGACGTCCAGCCATTTTACTGTTAACCAAGCTTCTACAATCGTGTACCACCGAGTTACAGGCTTTCTAACATTATGAATATAAATTCAGTCGCGTTAATGCCATTTTAGATCTGTATCTTATTTTCTATCCCACTTTTTGAGACAACATCGTAGAAACTTGCTCAGCATCTCATTCTATGGAGAATTGATGGGGCTATCTAATGATATGGTTGAGAAGCATCTGAGAGAAACTTTAAGGTCACTAGGTTTGCTAGAGAACAGGGTTTTTCAGAAACCTCTATCTCAAGTCTCCGAGGTGTAGCATAACTTTTCTCCGTCGAAATATATAGAAATCGACGCGCTCTTTCATTTGATACCAGCTTCAATGTTCTACGTTAGGGAATGTGGTCAGCAGACGTTCTACAAGTTAGGCCAAATCCGCCGAAAAATGACGAAAATGCATTTTTCTGCTGCGACTGTAAAATGGCTATAGCTCTTTTCCTAACAAGGCTAGACACTTGCGGTTTTCATCATTCGGTTCAGCTTGCTGAGCTCTATAGCATGGGGAAGGTCTCGTCACTAACGTCAAAGGTCGATGTAAATTGTGGTCGGTTTTATATGGATTTAGATTATCCGTCGATGCCGAAAACATCATTCTCCAGTAGTTTTTTTAGTGTTACGACGCCCACGCCCAATTTTGTCTCAACATTTTGTATATCATTTTGTAGCCTGTGAAATTCTCTATCGAATGATATATAAAGTGGAGTGGTTAACGATAAAATGGCTGGACGTCATAAGCGATGAACGCTGTTCACCTATGGATTTGTGGAGGTCGGGGCTTGTATTTCAAGTGTTAGGACACCCAGACCCAGTTTGACCTCGTTATTATATATATCATTTTGTAGCCCACGAAATTCTATATCGAGTGGTAATACAGTAGTTGAGGTTTGCTTTGAGGAAAGACAAGACATGAGGAAATACTCTAAATAAAGTTCATCTAAGGGGAGAGAAGTTTGGATGCGACTTTTTTCCAGGGGGGCTGAAAATGGTTTTTTTGAGATGCTAGTTTTAATCACGGAGAAAAACTACATCAGACCTGTGAATATGAACTTGATCTGAGAGGGAGCCGATTTTGTCTCTTATCGACCCCCGTCCTTTTATTCTATCGCAATAATCACCAAAAGCAACACTTTTAATCACCATCAAGTAATTAGCGAAACAAGTAAATTACACGAAAAGACAGATAGAAGAATAACTTAATCAAAAGAATCGAAAACCTCACCAGAAGAAATTTCTTTTTCATCTATTCCGATTCCTTTTGATTCAAATTATTCTGTCAACACAGAACAATATAAATAACGTCCCTAAACTGTATCCAACACCACTCGAAAGATGTCGCAACTAGATTGGAAATTATTGTGCACAGTCAAATCGTATGATGAAGCAAAAGAATTGGCCAAATCCTAATACAGATTTGAAGAATCATACGAAGTATTCGCTCAAATGCGGTGAATACAGAAAATACCCTTTATGTCCTTTTGAACTTCCGTCACAGTTATGTTGAGGAATGTACATGAACATAAAGAAGACGAACATAATGCAACAACACGCTACAAGATTGATCATATCAATAATACTTCCACTTTTTCACCACAAAATAAGTATTCCGACAAATGCAATTGACAACATATTTACAAGTTGATACAAGATCACATACAATGAGTTGCCCCTCCTGGTCCTGGTCTCAAATGATGCGAATCGTCATTTTAAACCATTTGATATCGCACTGGTTTCTCATGATGAGAATGCCGCATGTTATGATGAATTTTTTGCATCAATTAATGCATTAGTTGTTCACGAATTCAGTCGGCCATGTGTTTAATGGCTGATGGCGCATTAGGTATGATACAAGTTCTCCATTCCACCTCTTTTTATATCGTCGGAAATAGCTAAATATTTATAAATGGTCAGTATGTATAAATCATTCTGCTATTTTATATTGGTCAAATACATGTGATGCTGTCCCATCAAATGATGCCATGCGTTTGACTGGATACACATCGATCAGATCAATGAACATCATTCGACCATTTTGCGGCATGGCAAACATCATGTTAGTTAGTATCACCGCTTACATCGTGTACATGTCCAATTGGCCTCAAGCAATATACGTGCAAACACTCTGTTGACTTTTAAATTTTATTTAACATGTATTCAATTACTGACAAAACGCGTTGTGAATCTTTAGGTAACAGACAAACTAAAGGTCGCCCAAAAAAAGTTCGAACAGCTTTGTTGCCATAACGTTTATAAACGTTATTTTCTGTAAGCATCTTTCGTTAATTAATTAAATTTCTTGTGAGCTTTCGGATACTTTTGCTTAAATTATTCTCGTATCTGTTTTTTCTTATAACTTATTTGTTTCGTTAATTACTTTGGCACTCAAAAAAATACATATCCTTCTGTAATTCTATAAACCCCTATTTGCATTCGCTATTTATTCAACAAAAAATGAGAAACACAGTTCATGAAAAGGATATAGAAACATAGCGTATGATAAGTTATGAATTCTGACCTACTGTGCACCCCAGGTATTGTGTAGATTTCTTTAGTGAGGAAAGTATATTGACGCGTGTTTATTTAAATTAGAGTATGAAAAATCTTTGAGATGAAAAATTGTAGAAACGGATCTAGCACGTAAAAGCAGGAGGCCTCATGACATATCCCAAAATGACTCATAAACTGCCAAATACAGATAGAACAAAGATGCTGATTTTACAGTCCGATGAACTTTGATATAACCAAGAGCAATTAAAATAACAAGCAACAATAACGTATTGATACTGTATTTATTCACAATATCAAGTTAGTTTAATGAAAAACTTGCTAGCACATGTGGAAGGCCGAGTTTTACTGAGTCATCAGTAATATTCTAATTAATTAATTAGCTGATTAGTGTAATATTTGATACACAGTTGTTCTCTTCCTCGTTAAATGTGTATAGAAGGATCACTTAAATCATATCATTCGGTAGCATGATTTGGTTGGGTGTATTCCCGATTCGTCAACAGGCCCTTAATTGTCTTTAATTGTCGACACTATTTTTTTCCGAAACGGTCGACGTACTTTTTAATCCCGATTTGTCGACAGTTTATTTTTCCTGAAAAGCCGACACACCTGAATCAAAGGCTACCGACAATTTCTTAATTGTCGACACTTTT